GTAATATGAGGCAATTACTTTTTTTGAAAAAAATGTTTAATTTAAGATGAAGGGTCACCCTGTTTATTAACCAATTTCCTGAACATCAATTAGAGTCACTAACATTTGCATTTTTCCTAACAAAACTGAGTTCTAATTGTCATAAACATGTGGGTATCTAGAAACATGATTAATTCAGTTTTTTCCCCAAAGTTTTGTAGAAAAGTTGATAAAAATTAAAACAAAAAGAATTGACAAAGGTCATTATCGCACATCCATAACAGACAACAAAATTACCGCGGCCAACACAGTGTGATGTGTTTGCCGACTGACAAGACTTCCTCTACTACTGAAAACTCATTAAAATCGTCAGTGAGGCTCATTAAAGTTCGGTGTCAGCTTGAAACACCTCATTATTTTTGCTAAACCCTGACTACAACTTTTAAGTTAGAACAAAATAAAACTCATCTCCTTTGTTGTTATTTGAAACGCGGATCGTGATAATTACAGGCGTGATAATTACAGAAGGATTAGCAAACAATAACAACAACGACAACATAGAGGATATTACATGGCCACACGGGGATTCGAATTTTGTCTTCGAGTGCTGAAAGTATCTCTCACGAGTGAGCGAAGCGAACTAGTGAGAGATACTTTCAGCACGAGAAGATAAAACTCGTATCCCCAAGCGGCCATGTAATTTTCTGTTTATTTTATAGATACTGATGAAATTCCTACATAAAACACACCCTTTTTTTTGTTCGTTTTCGAAACAGCAAAATAGTGAAATTAAAGTGGTCACCTATCGCAAAATGCCCGCCACAAAAATGGTATGAAACTCGGATATAAAGTTATAAAGGAGAAATAAAGACAATAATTGGCTAATCATGTTAGTAACCATGGTGACACCAATATCCTCACACGTGAAAGATAAATCTCTATCTTCACTGCGCGCGATGAAGATATGATTTTTTAGTAAAAGGAAAAATCCTGATATTTCTTTATTATCTATATAATAAGATAATTTGTTTAACCACGTTATCGTCTAAGAACACAAGTGCTCGTTCAAAATACGAACGTGCATTAAATCTACATGTATAATAATAATATCAGGTATCAGGTATATATAAAAAAATAAATATATCATCTATCATCTATGTACACATGAATATAAAACAAAAAAGTTTTCTGGCACCAATCAGAAGGCAGAACGGCGGCGACCGTTTGGATCTGGTCTGGTAAGACATTGTCCCCAGGGGCTCTTCTCGCCGTTCTTTACTTTTCTTCGTGCCATATTTTTTCGCCCGTTTAGACTTTCCCTCGCCCCCACTATCTGCCCCTGGGTCTCCGAGGATGCCTCCTCCTCCTCCTCATGGAACTTGAATAACTCGATACAAAGCCTGTCAAACCAGTTAAACCACTTAAAAGTAGTACATGACCTTATCTTGATGAGATTCCCACGCATTTTTATTCATGAGATAAAAGGCTTTATATGATGTCATCAGCGTTAATGTTTTTAATAATGAGAATTCATTTCAAAAAAACTGAAACTTAATTTCATCCCTACTAAATTTTTATCACTTCCTTCTTGGTGTAAACTCAGAATACGTAACATTAGCATGCAAATGAAAGATATTAAAAGCGCGTCGACGCTTAAAGCCAGCACTTTTTTGAGCATTCAACATATTAACATAAATAAAATTGCCTCTCTGATACTGGTAAAAGCATCTCTTTAATGATTAACACATCGTACAGGTTGCCTTCCCCAGAGCCACGCGAGATTATGCGATTGCCTAGTCCCCAGGCTCATTGGTCCGCGGGCCAACGCCGGTAAACGAAAGGCATAGCAAGAAGGCCTGGAGCGTAAGCAATTCATGTTCTGTTGTACTCGTATTTGTTGTGTATAAGATGTGGCAAGATAGTTTTTTTAATAAACTGCTGTGGGTACTGACTACACTATAACATTTTGCATTTTGCCAAATAAAACAGGTCACAAAACAAAAATTTGAGGCATGTGTCAGAGGGGATTCGTTTTTGTTTTACGAAAAATGTTTCCTTTTGGCGTGAAAGCAAATCCACACGACCACATTTAAATGTTTTATAAAAAAAAGTTCTACCATCGTACTATGTAATATACCCGAAAAACCTAGCTTTGTTATTTATTTAGGGGTACAAGAACTTTATTGGTAAGTACTAACTGTAACTGAATAATGAAAGGCAAACGGCCGCGAAGTAAAGCTGGATCTTGGTTTTAGATCAGAATCGGTAAGGAGAATAACACCTAAAAGTAATTGTAAGCTGGCAGCCAAAAGACAGGGTATTATTTAATTGCCCAATATTTTGGGTAGACATTACTATCCTTCGTGACCTCCTTCGTCTGGGGCTGCAAAAAGCAATAATAAATTGTTATAACTAAGCGGTTGAAAAAAACAACAACGAACAGTCGATATTTTGCTTCTTCCATGAGTTGCTGGCAGAAAAGAAAAGAAAGTAACAAGAATCGGTGTGTCGAGAATTTTATTTACTGGGCTAAAAACGTATATTAACATAAACAGCAGTCAGCAGGTGTTTAAAATGGTTAGGGCCGCTTTGTTAAAAGAAGACAAATTGAGGTGATAATCAAAAATAGTAGAAAAATATTGTTGCTATAGTGAATATCATTATTTTATACCCAAGCATTATTGATGGTTATGGGGTTTCGTTCACTTTAACGAAACGGGTGTCCTAATGCATATTGCTATTTTGCTTTAGTAACGGATGAGCTGTTGGCAGGAAATCTAGGGAAAAGAAAATTAAAAATACGAATAACAAGAATCTATATGTGTCGTGAATTTTTATATACTGGGCTATAAAACATATATCAACATAAAAAGCAGTCAGGTGTTTAGAGTGATTAGGGACGCTCGTTTAAAAAAGACATGAGCTATAATCAAAACTATCCTAAAGAAAATTTTTCCTTAGTTGCAAGTTAGAATGGATATCTTTATTTTATACCTAATTATCATTGATATTTATGGGGCTCACTCAATCGAAACCTATCTCAACCAACCCAAAATTATAAACAAACCAGTTTGATATGCTTGGACTGTTAAGACTTCCTTTCTACAAGTAAACTCTATGCAAACGTCTGTCAAAGCTGGCCGCACATCGTGACGATTAGCAATTTAATTGATTAAAAATTAAAGGCCCTTGCCAAGTTTCTTTTTCCAGCCATCTGAATTAGGTTATTAATACCTCACATGTATTACGCTCTGCTAGGAAAATTTTGATGACTCAAGCATATTTGCATGCAGCTTAATGTATTGAATTTGCCGAATAGAGTGGTTTTCGTTTGAGTGTCGTAAAACCAAAACCAAAGTAATTACTCTGGCCAATCACATAGGACACAGACAATACATTGAACCAATCAAAACTCGAAGTAATTACATGTGGCTGACGCAAAGCGCGGGAAAATGCATGCGAGCGCGTCACAATTGGCTTTGGTTTTACTTCTGATTGGATGAAAAGGTGGCGCGAATCTTTTAAGCCAATCGCATCGTGTAGAAAGTGCAAAACCAATTACTTTTCGACACTCAAATGAAAACCGCTCTAATTGGAACTTACAGCGATGTTAATGAGGACAACGTCATACAGACTTGTTTCACCGACAACATATTAAGACCTAAAAAGTCATTAAAATGGCCCGTAAGTCGGTTTCACCTGGCTCATTATAGTTCGACTAATGTTTGTTTGAAAAACTAGACAACTTTGGTGAATCCTTTTTCCTCGTCTGGTACGACTAAAAACAGAATTAATTTTTTTTTCCTCAAAGTTTTGTGGAATTTAAAGTTAATAAAAATTGAAACAAGAAGAATTTACAAAGGTCATTTAATATCTCACATCCATAACAGACAACAAAATTACCGCAGCCCACAAAGTTTGATGTGTTTACCTACTGTTTTTAACTTCCTTTACCACTGAAAACTCATCAAAATCGTCAGTAAGTTAGTTTCAACAGGCTCATTAAAATTCGGTGTCAGCTTGAAAAACTTCATTGTTTTTGCTACTGACCCTGACTACAACTTTTAAGAACAAAATAAAACTCATCTCTTTTGTTTTTGTTTGAAACACGGACCGTGATAATTACAGGACGGTGTGAAAATTACAGAAGAATTAACAAACAAAATAACCGCGTCAAAGCACTTGCACTGAGATGGTCATGACGTTTTGGTGCAATTTCCCTCTATTACCCTAATTGAGTCCTAATTGTTGTAAACATGTGGATACCTTTTTTCAGCCATCTTAACCATACGCGTAGTCAGTACGTAGCGCATCTACACCTGATTGCAATGAACATGTCTTAGAAAAATGGTAAAGGAGAGATAAAAATAGAAAAAGCCAAATAGGAATTACAAGTTAGGCCTGCTAATGAATCTAGAAAGGAGTCAGAGAGTAGAGAGGGAGCATTTATTTGCTGCATAGGCGTATTGGGGGCATAGAAGCAAAGACAGTACGCGTATGTTGAAGATAAATTTACCATATTTAGTAGTTTAACGGTAAGCCTAATTAATTTCGATTTGTATTTCCATTTTTAATTTCAGTTCCTTTTAGCTGATTTAACTATGACAACGCTATTGCAATTAGGTGTATATATATCGCATGTCAAGTTGCCAATACGCCACCAACATATAAGACCTAAATTATTAAAATCATCCGTGAGTTTAAGTTTCACCTGTACAGTTACACCTGGCTCATCACAGTTCGGTCAGTTAGATTGAAAAAGTACCGAGACAACTTTGCTCGACTTTTCTTGGCCCTGTGAGCTTTCTTTTACGTTTAGTTAAACGTTTTTGCACGTTAGTGTGACTCTATGAATTACTTTTGATCATTATTTATTAATACGCGACAAATTAAGGTATATAGCCCGTTTAGGTAAATTGTTTTGACTGTAGAGATGTCGACATGATATCAGCTTTCACCCAAATTAAAATAGTGTGTATAAATGAAACTCTCACTTGCAGGTCAATGCGCCGAAGAGGAAAATGGCCCTCGAAAATTTTACTGAAGACGAAAACCATAGAACTGTCGAAGAACTGTTCTGCTCGGCTGAATTTGTCAGCAGTGTAGAGAGTGAGCTTATATTCTTTTCAGCTCTAAATATTTTTTTTTTCGTCACTGCATTTCTGGGGAACACTCTGATCCTAGTTGCTCTGCACAAGGAAACTTCACTTCATCCGCCGTCCAAACTCCTGTATCGTAACCTAGCGATAACTGATCTCTGTGTTGGTATCATTGTGGAGCCTTTGGCTGTGACTTATGGGACTTCTGTTGTGAAAGAAAGATGGGATATTTGCTATTACGCAGTTCGGGCAGGAACTTTCCCAAGTTTTATTTTCTGTTCAGTGTCTTTATTAACAGTGACTGCAATAAGCGTGGACAGACTTCTCGCGTTGTTGCTGGGGCTCGAATACAGAGAAGTTGTAACTTTTAGAAGAACATTTATAACTGTGACTAGTTTTTGGATTTTGTCCATCGTCGTTGTATCTACTGTGTTTTTGAATCTTCGTATAAGTTCATGGTATCTATGCATAAGTATAGCTTTGTGTCTGGTCACCACAATCTTCGCTTACGCAAAAGTTTTCGTTACCCTGCGTCATAACCAAATTCATGTTCAGAGCCATGCTGCTCAAGGACAACCGAGCCAAGCGATTCCACTGAACATAGCTCGATACAGAAAGGCAGTGTACAGTGCACTGTGGGTGCAGGGAACAATGGTTATTTGTTATCTGCCGTATGTTATAGTAGTAGCTTTGGCACTTTCTAGAGGGATGTCTTCATCCCTTCACCGTGCTTGGCAATTTACGGTTACTTTAGTGTATTCGAACTCGTCATTAAACCCGTTGTTGTACTGCTTGAAGATCAGAGAAGTAAGGCAAGCTGTAAAAGTAACATTAAGGCAACTTTTCTGTTGATCGAGTTAGCCTTCTACGCTTTCCATCTGTTGATTCCTGCTCTGATATTTAGCAGTTAACTGTAATGTATTGTATTGTAAGCTCATTTTAAGAAACAAGGCATATCAACTGTTTTTTCAAGGGAAACGTATATTGTTCCTGCTGGTTTAAAGATGTTATAGTTTTTATTTAGTGGCATGCAGTGTAAATGGCCTTACGAATAAACAGGTAACAAAGAAACAAATAGGATGGAATAGGATGTTGATTTATATTTAGTAATACAACAACTTTGCACGTTCATCACGTTTTTTTGTACATACTTCTTTGCCGTCGTTGCACGACTACGACGTGAAAGTTACTCATTTCACTTTTTTGGAGGACGTGAACGACTTCCTTTTTGTTTTCCTGAATTTCGAGACAATACAGTGTTTAATACGAATTCACCTCCAGAAAAAATTACCAACATTTGCCGAATATTAAACGAGATGGAATAAGTGCGACCAGTTGACTAAAGAGTAGATGGGCGGGTTTTATCAACAGAGGCGAATATAAAATTTCTCATAGTACTTCTGTATCCTTTTGAATATGTCCAGAGGCCGGCTTTTCATCGAATTTCCCAGCTTTAGATACCCGTAAAATTCGTCGCAGGGCAATGTTCTCCGTTACACTGAGCAGGAAGAAGCCATGTCCAGTTACAGCCGACCCCTCCCCTCTTTTAAAAAACAAATCTCTCTCTCCCTAGGGGAGGGTCGTCTGTACTCAGGCTATACTTTCTAGTAGGCCCAAACAGAACTCTAGTGTGTCAAGGTTTGGATTTTTCATTATAGAGGACCCCCAGCAAAGTTTTAAGATATCACGCTTGCAGCTCGTTAGAATAAGTTTGTTTCAGTCGTGGAACTGAGAAAAGTTAACATTTGACGTGCCCTCCAATGGGGTACATTTGTATATTAAAACTTCAAAACTCTTCGAATGTCAAAAAGGCCTTTTAAAAAGACCGTTCTCAACACGTTTCCGCCTTTTTAAGCGGAATTCATTCTATGCCTTATCAGTTATTCGTATATTTGTTAAGCCACGTGAGCTGTTTTACTTAATTGACGGTTTCCGATAGCACATGGACATGATTAAAAGGCGGCATTCTATAGCCCTTACTAGGAGCTATAGTAAAACGATAAAACAATACTAACTAACAATACAGTTTGATTAAGTATTATGGCTCTCGGTATTCCCCATTTTCAGTGACAAGTTTTGACCGTTACGCGGCAAAAATGAGTCACGTGACTAAGACTTAGAGTAGAAAAGCTCAGCAAATGAATGTAAACGTGGAAAGGAACCTGTTTGCGAAGTTTCACAAAGATGGAGGAGAGGAATGTTTCTCCTTGAAATGAAAATCCACCGAATTCGTGGTTGAGTCAAAGCCTTAATACACATGAGAAGGAGAAGAGTGGCTCCATCAAATGACTTTCATATCTCTTTATAGGAAAATAAGAAGAAATGTCTATGTAATTTAAAGTTGGATAAATTAAAATTTTCACAGAATGACTAATGAGATCTATTGATTGTCTCGAACATCAAAACATCGCTCGTTGCACCACAGGTGTTGGAGTCCTAAAAGATAGGCTTCGTCGAATAATTTCATCGCTCAAGACTAATTTTTTTTTTCCCCTTAAGGGAAGAGCTGAGAATAATTAAGTATTTAAATTTCAGTCTCAATTAAAGACGCAAGACATTCTACACCTCCTGTGTTGACTTTACCAATGGTCAAGTTTTATTGCGTGGGCCGGCTGCAACGTTGGCTAATAGCTTAAGCCTGAAAAAAAGTATCCCTTTTTGGTGAAGCCTTTCCCATCAAACGATAAAGTACACTCTTCCCCGTGGCTTATACCGGAACTGAGCTGCTATAAAAATTGAGACATCCGTCAAAACTTCTGATCAGTGAAGTAGAAATAATTGAGGCGCAAAAACCACTTTTTTATCAAAATGTAATATGAGGCAATTACTTTTTTTGAAAAAATGCTTAATTTAAGATGAAGGATCACCGGAGGGGTTATAGCCTGTTTAGGTGTTCAGATATTGGGACGACGACATGAGGCTAGAAGAGGTTCGTAAAGATCCAAAAAATGATCCACTGTAAACAAAGGCCTTCTAATGCTTGCTAACGTTTTCTAAGACACTCAGTTTTGTCAGGAAAAATGCAAATGTTAGTGACTGTGTAATTAATGCTCAGGAAATTAGTTATTAAAACAGGGTACCCTCTCTAAGAGATAGGCAGGTGGGCAGTAATAGTTCGTTTTTTTAGGAGTGAACAAAAGCCCACGTTCCATATATTAAAATTCTAACATGACTCCGAGACTCCGAGACTCCGAGACTCCGAGACTCCAAAACTCCGAGACTACGACACTCCAAAACTGCAGGTTTTTTTACGACTCCATTGTCCCGCAATTCCCGGAAGAGATTTGAGCACAAAGAACACCAAACCAAATATAGAAAAATGACCAGAAAGCCTCGAAGTCATGTTAGAATTTTAATATATCGCATGTGGGCCATTGTACTGTATGTCGATCATCTAATTTCACGAGACCTCTAATAGTTTTCTGTCTCGTTGCAGGTTCATAAGACCTGCTTGTTTTTGTTAAAAGGGGTGGTTATAAACAGTTATGAAACAAGAAAGATTAAGAACTTTTAATTAAAAACAGCGTGCGTTTACCTGATTAGCTCTCTGACAAGATAATGCAACCAATTGGTGAAAATAGAATATTAAATACCTATTTTCTCCAAAGACCCCTTAGGTCTGAACAGGGTTAAAATACCAGGTATTAATATCGGCGGGAATTAACATACCCGTAATATATAAGAAACGAGTGTTATTCATGTTACATCTTATGATATAATAAGACTAATAACAGACACCAAAATTAACAAAATTAAACTCAGCTCTGTTTTGTTTTCGTTAGAAACAGGATCGTGATGCTTTACAGATTGAAGAATTAGCAGCGTCAATACCTAGCCTTGGCTAATTACATTTAACTTTAAAGATGAAGGAATGTTATTCTTCCTCATTGACATCCCGCATTTTATATAAGAGTGATATATAAATGAAGGGTTTGCTTCCCCTAAGATGTTCATGATGTTTTCGTACGTTTTCCCTTTCATCAAAACGGACCCAAAATTAAGCGTTACCCTAATTGAGTCTCAATTGTTTTAAACATGTGGATATCTTTTTTCAGCCATTTTAACATGCGTGGTCAGTACGTAAAGCAAATATACCTAATTACAATAACGTTGTCTTAGAAAAATTTAATTGGGAAGGAGTGGTGGCTAAAGCTTACATTAAACCTTAAAAAATCTTGAGTTATTGGAATTTCCTTGAAATTACTGCGATATGTCACGTTGCCATGTAATGCGCCGCCAACAAAAAAAGTTATTTAAATCAACGGCGAGTTTAGGTTTCACCTGTGACATAACACCTGGCTCATCATAGTTCGGTCAGTTAGACTGAAGACCCTTTTTTGTATGTTAATGCTTTTTGCAAATTGTTTCTGACCAATAATTCTGAAACTGATGCGGCAAAATGAAAAAGGGAATTACAATGCCGATGCCCGTTTAGTCAAATAGTTGCCGTGACTTGAAAGATAACAAATTGATACTCTGTATCTCCTTTCACCCAAATTAAGATTCTGAGTATTTATATAAAACACTCAATTGTAGGTCATTGCGTCTCAGAGGAGTAGTATGGCACTGACAAATTTCACCGAAGATGAAAATCAGAAAAAAGTCGCTGAACTGTACTGCTCGGCTGAACTATTCAGAGGTGTAGATGGCGAACTTATCTTCCTCTCAGCTCTAAACGTTTTCCTGTCCATTGCAGCATTTCTGGGGAACACTCTGATCCTAGTTGCCCTACACAAGGAAACTTCGCTTCATCCGCCGTCCAAACTCCTGTATCGTAACCTGGCGATAACTGATCTCTGTGTTGGTATAGTTACAGAGCCTTTGTTTGTGACTTATTGGACTTCTGTTGTGAACCGAAGATGGGATATTTGCCACTACACGAGGCTGGTACTATTTTTCTCAGGTTCTACTTTGTGTTATGTGTCTTTATTGACACTGACCGCTATAAGCGTGGACAGACTTCTCGCCTTGTTGCTCGGGCACAGATACAGACAAGTTGTAACTTTGAAACGAACACATATAGCTGTAACTGGTTTTTGGATTTTGTCCATTGTAGGAGCATCTACAACCCTTTGGAATACTCTTATAACTTTATGGTTTCAACCCATCTTTGTAGCTCTTTGTCTAATGACCACAATGTTCGCTTACACAAAAATTTTTCTCTCTCTGCGTCAAAATCAAATTCGTGTTCAGAACCATGTTGCTCAAGGACAACCGAGCCAACCAATCCCATTGAACATAGCTCGATACAGAAAGGCAGTGTACAGTGCACTGTGGGTGCAAGGAACATTGGGTATTTGTTATCTTCCATATAACATAGCCGTCTTTTTGACACCTCGGAGAGGGATGCCTTTATCGATTTACCTTGCCAGGAATTTCACAGTTAGCATGGTTCTCTTAAACTCGTCATTAAACCCGTTGCTGTACTGTTGGAAAATCAGAGAAGTAAGGCAAGCTGTAAAAGAAGCATTAAGGCAACTCTTCTGTAGATCGAGTTAGTTTTTTTACGGTTTCCATCCGTTGATTCGTGCTCTATTTAAAACTTGCTTTCAAGGTAAAATTATCTGGATTTAACGCAGTTAACGTTATCACTGTAAATGTATTGTATTGCATTTTATTGTTGCTGTCCTGTTGGAAGGTCAGAGAAATAAGACAAGCTGTAAAAGAAACGTTAAGGCAACTCTCCTGTTGATCGAGTTAGTTTTCTGAGCTTCTCATTCCAGCTCTCTCTTGCCAGCTCTTAATTCTACTTGAATCCTGGTTGATATTAAGCGATTTTTAACTGTAAGTATACTATATTGAAAGCATATTTTATGACGGCATGTAATCTGTTCTGTAGGGGAAGAATATTATTCTTGGTCTAAAAATCCAAAGGTGTTATCTTTATTGTTTAGTGACATGAAGTGTAAACAACACGCAAGAGCTTGTTCATTTACGAATAAAGAGCTAATAAAGAAATATTGTTTAAGGGCTCCTTTCCTTTGTCTCTTCTTCTTCATTGTTTCCAATTCCAAAAATCTCTTAATTTCATTAGGATGCAAATGAAAGATACTGAAAGGGCACATATTAACATTGCCTAAAAACATTTGCTTAATGATTAACACCTACGGGTTACCCTCCCCTGAGCCCCTCGAGGTTATGCGATTGCCTAGTCCCCAGGTTCATTAATCCGCGGGGCCTACGTCACCGAAATGCATTGACCGAGAACGCCTAGGAAGACGCTGGACATGGCAACCTCGTCTCCAGGGCGCTTTTCTCTGGCTTTGGGAGTGGGGCAAGATAGTTGTGCCTTAGTAAACTACTGTGGGTATTGACTACACAATAACATTTTACATTTTGCCGAAACACGGTCACAAAAGAAAAATTGTAGCATGTGTCAGAGGGCGCTCGTTTTTGTTTACGAAAAATGTTTCCTTTTGGCGTGAAAGCAAATCCACGCGACCGCATTTAAATGTTTTGCAAGAAAGTGCCACCATCGTACTATGTAATATACCCGAAAAACCTAGCTTTATTATGAGGGGGGTACAAGAACTTTATCGGTAAGTACTAACTGTTAAATACTTGGACAAACGACGGCGAAGTAAAACCGGATCTTGGTGTTGATCAGGATCAGTAATGAGAATAAAACGTAAAGTCAAATGCAAGCTGGCAGCCAAAAGATAGGGTATTATTTAATTGCCCGATATTTTGGGTAGACAATACTATCCTTCGTCTGGGGCTACAAAAAGCAATAATAAATTCTTTTAAATAAGCGGTTGAAAAAAAAAAACAACAACAACAAACAGTCGATACTTCGCTTCCTCCATGAGTTTTTGGAAGAAAATCAAAAGTACGAATAACAAGAATCTGTGTGTCGAGAATTTATTTGCCGGACTAAAAGGTATATTAACATAAAAAGCAGCCAGCAGGTGTTTAAAATGGTTAGGGCCGCTTTGTTAAAAGAAGACAAATTGAGGTGATAATCAAAATTAGTAGAAAAATATTGTTGCTATAGTGAATATCATTATTTTATACCCAAGCATAATTGATAGTTATGGGGTTTCGTTCACTTTAACGAAACGTGTGTCCTTATGGATATTGCTATTTTGCTTTTTTAACGGATGAGCTGTTGGCAAGAAATCTAGGGAAAAGAAAATTAAAAACACGAATAGCAAGAATCTATATGTGTCGTGAAATTTTATGTACTGGGCTATAAAACATATATTAACATAAGAAGTAGTCAGGTGTTTCAAATGATCACGGATGCTAAGCAGGCTAAGTTTTAAAAAAAGACATAAGCTATAATCAAAACTATTCTAAAGAAAATTTTTCTTAGTTGCAAGTTAGAGTGGATATCTTTATTTTATACCTAATTATTATTGATAGTTATGGGGCTCACTCAATCGAAACCTATCTCAACCGGCCCAAAAATTATAAACAAACCAGTTTGGCATCTTTGGACTGTTAAGACTTCCTTTCTACAAGAAAACTCTTTGCAAATGTCTGTCAAAGCTGGCCGCGCACGAATTAGCAGTTTAATTGTTGAATAATTAAAGGCCCTTTCTAAGTTTCTTTTTCCAGTCATCTGAAGTCGGTTAATAACTCACATGTATTACGCTCTGCTAGGAGACTCGAGCATATTTGTATGCAGCTTGTGTTGAATTGACCGAATTACTGGAACTTACAGCGATGTTAAGGAAGAAAACGTCATGCAGACTTGTCTCACCGACAACATATACCTAAAAAGTCATTAAAATGGTCCGTAAGTCAGTTTCACCTGACTCATTATAGTTCGACTAATGTTTGTTTGAAAAACTAGACAACTTTGCTGTATCCTTTTTCCTCGTGTGGTACGACTAAAAACAGAATTAATTTTTTTCGTCAAAGTTTTGTAGAAAAAGTTGATAAAAATTAAAACAAGAAGAATATACCAAGGTCCGCATTATCGCACATCCATAACAAACAACATTACCGCAGCCCACACAGTTTGATGTGTTTGCTGACTGTCAAGACTTTCTACACTACTGAAAACTCATTAAAATCGTCAGTGAGTTAGTTTCAACAGGCTCATTACAGTTCGGTGTCAGCTTGAAACACTTCATTGTTTTTGCTAAACCCTGACTACAGCTTTTAAGAACAAAATAAAACTCATCTCTTTTGTTTTTGTTTGAAACACGGATCGTGATAATTACTCGAGAATTAGCAAATAAAATAACCGCGTCAAAACACTTGCACTGAGATGGTCATGACGTGTTCGTACGATTTCCCTTTACCCCGAGTGTTAATTGTTGTAAACACGTGGATATCTTTTTCCAGCCATCTTAACCATACGCGTAGTCCGTAAAAGCGCATATACACCTGATTGGAATCAACATGTCTCAGAAAAATGGTAAAGGGGAAATTTGAGATTTGACATTTTCCCCGCATTTTATTCATGAGATAAAGACAAAAGGCTATATATGACGTCATCAGCGTTAATGTTTTCAATAATGAGATTTCATTTCGACAAAACTGAATCTCTTAATTTCATCCCTACTAAATTGTTATCACTTCTTTCTTGGTGTAAACTCAGAATAAGTAACATTAGCATGCAAATGAAAGATATTAAAAGCGCATCGACGTTTAAAAAAAGCACTTTAGGAGCATTCAACATATTAACATAAATAAAATGGCCTCTCTGATACTGGTAAAAGCATCTCTTTAATGATTAACACATCCTACGGGTTGCCCTCCCCAGAGCCCCACGAGGTTATTGGATTGGCTGGTCCCCAGGCTCATTGGTCCGCGGGGCCAACGTAAACAAAACACATAGCACGAAGGCCTGGGACGTAAGCAATTCAAGTTCTGTTGCACATGTATTTGTTGTGTATAAGATGTGGCAAGATATAATTGTTTTAGTAAATTTCTGTGGGTATTGACTACACAATAACATTTTGCCAAACTAAAAAAATTAAAACATGTATTTACGCTCTGCTAGGAAAATTCTGATGACTCAAGCATATTTGCATGCAGCTTGTGTTGCTGGATCTTACAGCGATGTTAATGAAGAAAACGTCACGTAGACTTGTTGCACCGACAACAGTCCGGGCCACAACCAGATCTGGATATGTGATGACGTCACCCACATTTGCAAAATGGCGCCCACGCCGAGAAACACGAGGGAAGGTCACTTCCAGGCTCTTTGCTGCGCCTAGAAGTGTCTTTTCCCCATACTACTTTGAGAGCTGTGACTTTAGACAATGAGAAATCAGGGGTGTGAAGAAAAAATGCCGTCCGATGAACGTTTGTGTGTTCTTGGGAGGTAAAAAGACCGAACACGAGAGTCGGGAGAGTTTCAGCTCAAAGAAATGTTGGACAAGGCGCAAGACATCTGAAAAAAGAAGGTGAGTTTCAATTTTCTGATCCTTGAAAAAATGTTTTGTAATCTACATAAAATTTGCTTGTTGGTGGTAGTCTTTTTCGTGTAGTGCATAGCGAATTCAAATAGTGCTGTGCTTTGGAAGATGCAACAGTCAGTTGCGCCGTTCACGTGCCGGTTTTCATTGTAACGCCATGTTTATTTTATGTTATCTTGCAGTCGGATGAAAAAGCAAAAGCACCTTGTTTTTGTGGCAAAAAGATGCCGCCGGTTTGTTCGTGGAGAACCGTAACCATGGACTTGCCTGATCACAAAGTGGCAATAACAAAACAGTTCAAACACTGTTAAGCTTATTCAAAAGCTATTATCAAGGAAGGGAATACGCGCTCCAGTCAGAAGACTCACATTTATAGAAAAACACCAAGCTGGAGTCTACTGAGTCATAATGCATTTCTCCATAGTTGATGCAGCTTCAGTTAAAACTGCAGTTAATTCTTATAATTTTGTATCTGTTAATCACTATCTGTGATAATTTAACATCCTGCAAAGAAAACTCATGAGCTGGGCCCCGCGTGATACAACATTGCAAAAAAAAAAAAAAAAAATTATTTACATTCACGGACTAACAAAAATCGCTTAGTTATTCAGATCCAGAAGGCACTTTGGAGAAAATCAGAACCCTTATTCAGCCGCAATAAAATGCTTTACGCTTCAAAAACTGAGGTCACAGAAAATGCTGAAAATCCTTCAGACCAGATACAAAAAAACCACAGTAAATCGATATGTGTGCCGTAATGATCTCTCAGTGTGAAACAAGCGGCTAAATTCACAATTGCTCAGTAAAAATGGGGTACAACCTTCCAGATCATAACCTACCCAACAGAAGAAAAAAACTTAATTGGAACGAGCAGCATTTTTGCATGAGGTAAAAATCGTGTAGGCCACACAGTTTGACAGTTTTTTTTGTCAGTGAGTTAGTTTCAACAGGCTCATTAAAGTTCGGTGTCAGCTTGGAAAACTTCACTGTTTTTGCTAAACCCTGACTACAACTTTTAAGAACAAAATAAAACTCATCTCATTTGTTTTTGTTTAAAACACGGATCGTGATAATTACGGAAGAATTAGCAAATAAAATAAACTCGTCAAAGCACTTGCACTGAGATGGTCATGACGTTTTCGTGCGTTTTTCCCTTACCCTAATTGAGTGCTAACCAGCCATCTTAACCACACGCGTGCACTGGTCACCCAGCCGGCATCTACACCTGATTGCAATGAATTTGTCTTAGAAAAATGGTATAATTAAAAGGGAAATGAAAATAGAAAAAGCCAAATAGGCGTTTTGGGGGCATAGAAGCAAAGACAGTAGGCGTATGTTGAAAATAAAAAACGGCAAGCCTAATTAATTTCGATTTGTTTTTTTGCGTTTTTAATTTCAGTTCCTTTCCTCTGATTTAACTATAACAACGCTATTGCAATTAGGTCTACATGTATCGCTTAACTTCTGGGAAGGAGTGATTGCTCAAGCTTATAGTAAACTTTAAAAAATCTTGAGTTATCGGAATTTCCTTCAAATTACTGCGATGTCAAGTTGCCAATGCGCCGCCAACATAAGACCTAAAAAGTTAGGAAAATCATCCGTGAGTTTAAGTTTCACCTGTGACATAACACCTGGCTCATCATAGTTCGGTCAGTTAGATTGCTCGACCTTTCTTGGCCCTGTGAGCTTTCTTTTACGTTTAGTTAATAGATTTTGCACGTTTCTGACTCTATAAATTACTTCTGATCATTATTTATTAATACGCAACAAATGAACGTTTATAGCCCGTTTAGGTAAATAGTCTTGACTGTAGACATGTCGACATGATATCAGCTTTGACCCAAATTCAAATAGTATATTTAAATAAAACTCTCACTTGCAGGTCATTGCGCCGAAGTGGAAAATGGCCCTGGAAAATTTTACTGAAGACGAAAACCATAAAACTGTCCAAGAACTGTACTGCACGGCTGAATTTGTCAGAGGTGTAGATGGCGAGCTTATATTCCTTTCAGCTCTAAATATCTTTTTTTCCGTCACTGCATTTCTGGGGAACACTCTGATCCTAGTTGCTCTGCACAAGGAAACTTCACTTCATCCGCCGTCCAAACTCCTGTATCGTAACCTAGCGATAACTGATCTTTGTGTTGGTATCATTGTAGAGCCTTTGTTTGTGACTTATTGGACTTCTGTTGTGAAAGAAAGATGGGATATTTGCTATTACGCACTTTGGGCAGTAACTTACTCAGGTTTTATTTTGTGTACAGTGTCTTTATTAACATTGACTGCAATAAGCGTGGACAGACTTCTCGCCTTGTTGCTGGGGCTCAGATACAGACAAATTGTAACTTATAGAAGAACATGTATTTAACTGTGACTGGTTTTTGGTTTTTTTCCATCGTCGGTGCATCTACTCTCTTTATGAATCGTCGTATACGTTCATGGTATCAATACATAGGTACTGCTTTGTGTCTGGTCACCACAATCTTCGCCTATGTAAAAATTTTCGTTACTCTGCGTCATAACCAAATTCATGTTCAAAGCCATGTTGCTCAAAGACAAACGAGCCAAGCAATTCGATTGAACATAGCTCGATACAGAAAGGCAGTGTACAGTGCACTGTGGGTGCAGGGAACATTGGCTATTTGTTATCTTCCATATAATGTAGCGGTAGTTTTGACACCTCGGAGAGGGATGCCTACCTTGCCAGGAATTTCACATTTTGCATGGTTCTCTTAAACTCGTCATTAAACCCCTTGCTGTACAGCTGGAAGATCAGAGAAGTGAGGCAAGCTGTAAAAGAAACAATAAGGCAACTCTTCTGTCGATCGAGTTAGTTTTCTAAGCTTTTCATCTGTTGATTCGTGCTTAAAACTTGCTTTGAAGGTGAAATTAATTATAACTGCATTTAACGCATTTAACTGTAAATATATTGTGATTGAGGGTAAGCCGCTTACGATAAGGCATATCAGCTGTTTGTTTAAGGGAAACGTATATTATTTCTGCTGGTTTAAAGATGTTATGGTTGTTATTTAGTGGTATGAGAAGTGTAAACGGCCTTACGAATAAATAGATAGCAAAGAAACGACTAGGATTTCGGTCAATATGCTCAGTATTAGCGATACAACAACTTTGCTCATTCATCACACTTTTTTGTACATTCCTCTGCCGTTGTTGCACGACTACGACTTGAAAGTGCCTTATTGATCATGTTTTTTCGAGGACGTGACCAAAGGAAAGCGACTGAATTGTGGATACAGTGTTTAAGAATTCACCCTTGAAAAAATTGCCAACATTTGTACGAATAGAACGAGACGGAATAAGTGCGACCAACTGACTAAAGACTGGCGGTTTTTTTTCTTTACAATCAGTATTCGGTTGGTCGCGCTCTCATTTTTCGTGGATGGGTGGGGGGGGGGGG